TCATCTATATCCCATAATTTTCCTACCTTTTTAAAAAATCCCACAAGCCTGCGTGGCCCTCCTCGCTGTCTGACATCTCTGACAGAAGCATGGAGCCTGCACAGTTCTGCACTATTGTATTAAGCATTGCAAACACAGAATGCATGATCCTCTGGTATTTGCAGAGCTGCAAGAAGAACCAAATCAGCAGAGAACATGACGATTTCGTAGAGGTCAGATGCTGTGGGACACAGCGAGAACCAATTCAAGATTAAAAAGAACAGGAGTACTTGTGGCACCTTAGAGACTAACAAATTTATTAGAGCATAAGCTTTCGTGGGCTACAACCCACTTCTGCATCCGAAGAAATGGGTTGTAGCCCACGAAAGCTTATGCTCTAATAAATTTGTTAGTCTCTAAGGTGCCACAAGTACTCCTGTTCTTTTTGCGGATACAGACTAACACGGCTGCTACTCTGAAACCAATTCAAGATTGTTGGTGGTGTTCAAGGAGTAGCTGCAGATGGTGGAGCACTATTTCTGAGCCAGAGAAATGAGCCTTGATTGGTTGGATTGCATCGTAATGCAGATTTGGGATGATGAGCGGTGGCTGCAGAACATTTGGATGTGCAGTGCCACATTCCTGGCTCTGTGTGCTGAGCTTGCCCCAGCCCTCCAGCGCAGGGACACCAGAATGAGAGCTGCACTGACAATAGAGAAGTGAGTGGCAATCACACTGTGGAAACTCACAATGCCCGATTGTTACCGGTCAGTGGGAAATCATTTTGGAGTTGGAAAATCCCCTCTGGGGGCTGATGTCATGTAAGCGTGCAGGGCCATTAATCGCCTCCTGCAGGACTGTGACTCTTGGCAACGTGCAGGACTTAAGTGGATGGATTTGCAGCAGCGGGGTTCCAAAACCGCAGTCGAGTGACCCCTACGCATATCCTATTTTGACACCAGACCACCTTGCCACAGCTTACATCTACAGAAAGGGCTACTTTTCTATGGTTATGCAAGTACTGCTGGATCACAGGGATGCTTCCCCAACACCAAAGTGGGCTGGTCAGGGAAGGTGCACGAAACTTGCATCTTAAGAACACAGGAATGTTCAGAAAGCTACAAGCAGGGACCTACTTTCCCGACCAGTGGATCACCATAGGCGATGTTGAAATGCCAACAGTGATCTTGGGGGACCAGCCTACCCTTTGTTCTCCTGGCTCATGAAGCCATAAACCAGCCACCTCGACAGCACCAAAGAAAGATTCAACTACCAGCTCGGCAGGTGCAGAATGACAGTTGAATGTACTTTTGGTAGACTGAAGGGAAGCTGGTGTTGTTTACTCACAAGGTTGGATCTTAGTGAGAAAAATATCCCAATGGTTATAGCAGCCTGCTGTGTCCTGCATAATATCTCTGAAGCAAAGGGGGAAAAGTTGCTGCCAGGATGAAGAGCAGAGGTAGAGCGGCTGTCTTCTGAGTTTGAACTGCCAGACACAAGGGCTATTAGAAGAGCTCAACATGGAGCTATATTGCTCTGGGAGCCTTTAAAAAACCACTGACAGTAAACCACAGTAATGGGTTGTGATGTACTGTGCTCTGCCTGAGCCCGGCTGTCTTGGGGCTTGTTAGGAATTGTGGAGTACTGTACATTTATGAATATAACAGTGTCAATGCACCTATTTATTTCATGGTGCTCGCTGTACATTTATGACTATTACACTGTTTGCCACTGATCCTGTGAGTTGTGTCAGACCGTACAGCAAGTGGGTGCTTGCACTACCATTAGGCATTCTGCAGCATATGCTGGGGACTAAAAGATTATTTTCCAAACAATAAAATTTTATTGAGTAAGGCAAATATTGTAAAAAAAATTCTGTGCAAATTAAAAGCAAATGCATTACAGCCTTAATAAATTTATGGAACAGAACTTAAGAAGTGGAAAAAACATTCAGGTCCATGTTAGCTACACACAGCAACCATGGCTTTCACATGTCAGTGGATGTGAAGCTGTGGTTCTCCTTAACATTCCTGTAGGGAGGAGTGGTAGGGTTCGGGATGTGGCCCCTGATGCCATGTGGAACACTGAGGGGGATGTAGGGAGGTGTTGTAATGGAGTTTTCCATGGACTGCAAAGGGAGGCGAGCCCGTGATTGTTGAACCTGTAGGTCCACAAGAGTCTGCAGCATCTGTGTTTGTTGCCAGAGAAGCCCCATTATGCCCTGGTGCATCTCCCTCCCTTTCCTTTTCCTGGTGGGACTCCTGTGCCTCTCTCCTGTCAGGTCTTTCCTTCTCCATACAGTCGGCAGTATTCACCCTCCAGGCCCTCTGCTCATGGTCTGATGCAACACTGGCTTCCCAGATCTCACTGAATATGTCATCTCAAGTCCTCTTCTTTCTCCTCCTTCTCTGGCTCAGGTGTTCCGCAGGTGTGGAGGGGAAATCCCTCAAGGCTGCAACAGCAGCAACTACAGAAAAACATCCAGAGATACCATTGTCAATATAATGACAACGGAAAGCCAAAGTTAAGATTCAGAACTCCCTTCCCTCACTCCCCATGAGTTTTAAACAAGACATGCTTATTGACACTGCTGCTTTGGAATGCTTATGCACGGCACCACTCACAGCACCAGTCATGGTGAGTACGGCCCACCAGGGAGAAGGGAAATGAGGAGGGAATTGCTCCGTTGCATGGAACTACGAGTAAAGGGCAACGGTATTGAATACTGGCACTGTTTTCCACAGGCGGTGGTGATTTTAGCTGATATCTCACTCCTTAGGGTAACAAAGGCACGGAGAGCACAGCTGCTACTGGTGTCCCAAAGTCACCCAGGCTAGTATACCGCTAGCCTGTTTCCTGCAACGATGCCTACCAAAGTTATTGCTGACTGGCGTGGGAAAGTCCTACCCGGAGGAAAAAATAAGGCTGCCATCCCTAGAAACCTTTGGGAGAGGACTGCAGAGTACTGCCATGGAAGTTTTATCAAGATCTCAGGAGGATTAAGGAGACATCCTGGTATACACAAACAAACTGCGCTGCATGGCCCTCCTGTCTAATTCTACAGGGGAACGAAAAGCAGGTAACTCTACCTCTTATTGTTGTACTGCTACCTCTTCTGGAGTGAGTAAATTAATGAAAAGTCAATAGGTGTGTCTTGTTAAGCTGGGGGCACATCATTGTAATGGGAAATACTTTGAAACACTTACCCAAGGTTCCTTCCGCTGCATCGGGCTTGCCCATGCTCAACTGCCAAGGCTGACTGGACTGTAGTGGAGCCTCAAACAGGTCCTGGCTCGTGTCGTAACTGGACCCCCAGGTCGCATGTCCCCCATCCTCCTGCTCTTCCTTCTCCTCCTCTTCCTCACTGTTCACAGCAGGGGCCTCTGACTTGAGCTCCTCAGAGGTATCCAGAGTAGTCTACAGGGTGGTAGTGGGGTCTCCATCAAGAATGGCATGCAGCTCTTTGTAAAAGTGGCAGGTCTCCAGCTCGGCACCAGATTGACTGTTGGCCTCCCTGGCCTTCTGATATGCCTGCCACAGCTCCTTTGCTTTCACACAGCACTGCTGCTGATCCCTGTCGTACCACTTCTCTTGAATCACCGATGCAATCTGCTTATAGGTGCCCACATTTCTACAGCATCTTCTCCACACAGGTCAAGGAGAGACAATTCTCTCCAGGCCAGAGCATGTCTGGAGAGTGTAGCCAGCATGGTCAGCTGGGCAGGTGCACACAACAGTGGAGAGCTGGTAGGCGTGCTCACCAAACTGGACAATCAGGAAAAGGCATTTCAAAAACGTACAGGGCTTTAAAGGAGGGGGCGGCCTTCCAGTCTCAGTGAACCCTGGGCAGTGGAGTTCACAACTGTGACCAGAGCAGTCCGTGTCGAGCATTGTGGGATAGCTGCTGGAGATCTGTTCAGGTTGACACAGGTAATGCAGTGCCTACACTCGCACTGTGTCAACCTCAGCACAATGATAGCTCACTGCCACTCGGGGAGGTGCTAATACTGCCTCACTGTAACAGAGCACCTACATCGGCGGGAAACAAATGTAAGTGTAGACACATGTGCAACTAGATTGACGCAAGGCAGCTTATGTCAACCTAACTTTGTTGTCTAGACCAGGCCTTATTTTCGTATGGAAAGGGGAACAAGCTCTGCTAGTAGAAGACACTTTTATATTGGTATAACTGCACCACACTAGGCTGGTTGCATGGGTAGACAAGCACTCTTCTAAATCTTTATCACTAACTTAAGCCCACCAAGTCAACACAGCATGCTTGCTTCTAATCAGATAAACAGTATTGCAGATGAATAGTTTCACTGTATTCCTTAACTACATATTACAAATTCAGAGTTCATGTTGCATATGGAAGTAAAAGCAGAGAGACAGGGGGGAAGATGCACACATACACTTTTTTATAAAATATTTATGTGTAATATCAAGCTCTTTTCAGTATACAGAAGATTTGTTTCCCAGTTTATTTTACATTAGAATGTCAGGTATTTTCCGCTCTGTAAGACACTGGACAGCTGCAGAACTAGCAGAAGTACAAGATGACATGTATCAAGTAAGTCAAACTTCAGCAATTGAGAGGGGGAGGGATTTCTGTCAGACTGTTTAAAACTGTGGTTGATTATTTTTGTAATATCTAGTTAACTAAAACACATGAAAAAAAGAAAGCTTTCCGTATCCCCAACCCTTCATTTAGGGGGTTAAATGGATACCAGTCTGCCTTACAGAGACTTTTTTTTTGTTAGAGAACTCACTGGGAAAGATCAAATTGGACATTCATGATATTTCTAAGATTGGGGGCAGAGGAGAACCTCAGTGTCCCCCCCCATCCCCGCATTGTCAGGTCTTCTTTTTATATCATAAAGCAACAAGAGAGGGCACAACATTTTCTCCATCTTTGTAAGTCACCTTTAATGCAAGAGGAACTGAGCATTATCACACGTTTGCAAATAGAGATTGATCTCAAAAGTTGCACTCTCTCAATAATATATAACAAGTATTCTTACTTTGGGCCAGCTGACATCACTGGGCAGCTCTCTTCTGTACAGAAGTCTGTAATGGTACCATAAAGCATATTGATCTGGTTGAAGAAGTCCACAGCTGTAAAGAATTTAAACAATCAGTTAGCAGTCTGGTAACAGTCTGCCAACAATGCAAACTTCATGCAGTTCTAATTACAAAATTCCCACTGCTGAACAGGTGTATAGAGTTATGTAATGAAGCTTCCACATTGTTAATTGCTTTGTAAATATTACAAAGGAAATGTGAGGCACAGACAAAATAGACAGTTGCGTGTAAATGTTATATTAAAGTCCATCGCCATACAACGATTTCTGTTCTGCTGGTTATGAGCCAACTATTAAGAATTTATGTTTAGCCTTTTAATGTATTTAAAAACATTGCACTTCATTTAGCAGTGCATTTCATTGAGTATTTGTTTATTTTGGGGGCATGCTTATTACACATTCTGGGAGAGAGCTGTCTGAAATATTTAATAATATTGCACCTTTCGCAAGGAAGGAAAAGAGTTACCATATATAATCTATCTTGGTCAACATTTTTTAAAATAGAGCCTAAACATTTTTTTTCAAACTTGCTGGGCAGCAATAGGAGGTGCTGGGTGCTCGGTGCTTTTTAAAAATCAGGCCTCTTATTTAGGAGCCTAACTTTAAGCTCTTGTTTTTGAAAGGCTTGGCTTCTGTAATCAATTTATAAAAATAAACCTACTTTTCCCCCCACTGACTGATCATGATTGCAGTTGGCACACTCTTTGTTGCTCCAATGCCACACAAAGGAATGCTGTAGGAGCATATTTTGTCGCAGTTCAATGTAAATTACAGGCAAAATTAAAACAGGAGAATCAATCACAAGCTGTATTTCATGGAACAAATTTGTGATTGGTAACAGCTAAATACTTCCGGTTCTATGCATAACACTTCATCGGGATAAAGGTTCCATCTGTCTTCCCGCAATTATTCCCATCTGCCTTCCACCCAGGAAGAATTCAGCTACTGTAATAGTCTCTGCTGGCGAGCTCAAGTAAGACAAATCCACAAGAAAAGATGATCTATGATATTTTACATACAAAAAACAAACAAAAAATTGATGTGAAATTTAGACAGATTCAGCTGCAATTTACAAAATCTATTACAGTAACTCCTCACTTAACGTTGTAGTTATGTTCCTCAAAAATGCAACTTTAAGTGAAATGATGTTAAACAAATCCAATTTTCCCATAAGATTTAATGTAAATGCGGGGGGTTAGGTTCCAAGGAAATTTTTTGGGGGCAGACAAAAGGCATTATATACTGTACAGTAGTGGGAAGGTGCCCCTGGCTTACCCCTGGGGCTCAGGGCTGGGGGTGCAGGGTCTGGGAGGAAGTTAAGGTGCGGGAGGGCACTCAGGGTGGGGGTGCGGGGTCTGGGAGGGAGTTAGGATGCAGGAGGACGCTCAGGGTGGGAGTGCGGGAGGAGGCGCAGGCAGGAGGTGCAGAGCACTTATCTGGGGCAGCTCCTGTTTGGTGCAGGGGGTGTGCAGGTGGTTCTGTGCAGCGCGGCACCGCCCCCATGGCCGCGATACTGGGAGCTGCCTCCCCCTCCCCCAGCAGGCAGGGCCACCCGGAATGCAAGGGCTTTAGGGGCTGCAGGGCCCTGGGCTAAGGGGGCCCCGGGGCCCTGGCCTGCAGCTCTAAAGCCCCTTTCAGAATGCAGCCCTGCAAACACGGGCAGGAGGACTCGGGAGGAGCAGGGGCAGCCGCGCAGCCAGCGGCCGGAGAGAAGCAGCGCTTTCCCCTTCAAAGCTTCCCCGCTCGCTCCCTCCCTCCCTCCCAGAAAGTCCTAAGCACCGCCAAACAGCTGTTTGGCGGCGGGGGAAGCGCTGGGAGGGAGGGAGGGAGGAAGGGAGGGGGAGGAGGCGGAGAAGAGGAACTTGTGCAATGCTCCCTTATAAAGTCAGCCAAACGACGTCATAAGGGAGCATTGCACAACTTTAAACAAGTATGTTCCCTAATGGAGCAGCGACGTAACTTCGAAACAACGTTAAGCGGGAGGACTTTAAGTGAGGAGTTACTGTATTTCATTTTGTCACTGCTAAATGAAGTTTCTAGCCCTTTTGGCTGCATGGCTAGTTTTGACAATGTGAATAGATGCACAATTAGTTTTGTTTCCGTCTGTCTGCAGACTCAACAAAAGCACTGCGGGTACTTTTACACAGCAAACGGCAGCCCATGGCAGCATGTCTCAGAGTCTGGGTCTACAGACTCAGCCTTGTGGGGTTTGCACTTTGGCACTAAAAATAGCAGGGTAGACATTTGAGCTATGGCTGGAGCTCAGGCTCTGATGCCTAGGTACGGGGGTGGGCCTCAGAGCCCAAGCCCAAACATCTATGCAGCTATTTTTAAAGCTTTAGTGCAAGCCTGAGTCTGTAGACCTGGGCTCTGCAATGGGTTGCTGCTTGCTGTGTAGATGTACCCTTAGGGTATGTCTACACAGCCGACAGTAAAGTGTTGCTGCAGCAGCGCTTTAACATCAGCTGTGTAGTCGCGGCTCCAGAGTGAGCTCTCCCAGCACTGTAAAAAAAACCCACCTCCGTGAGGGGAATAGCTCCCAGCACTGGGAACGTGGCTCCCAGAGCTATAGCACTGTCTACACTGCCACTTTACAGCGCTGAAACTTGCATCGTTCAGGGGTGTGTTTTTTCACCCCCTGAGCGAGGAAAGTTTCAGTGCTGTACGTGGCAGTGTAGACAAGCCCTAAGAGACTTAAGACCTTCCACTACTTATCTTAGTTGGGCAAGGTGTGTGAAACTAAATTAGGGCCACTTCTATGCCTGTGTCATGCTGAGATGGATCCCCAAAATACTCAATTAATGCCCTCATTCAGTGAGCTTGACAAACAAATCACGTCCTTAAATGTCATTTGAATGAGTGTTCAGCTAAGAATAAGGCTCTTCGCTCCCAATGCACAAGTAGCTGAATGTCCTATTGACTCATCTTTGGAGCATTCAGATAGACATTTTTGTATTGATAGCCTTCATTAGAAGGTGACATTTACAGAGCTATCAGTTACAAAATGCAGCACTCCCACAAGCACAATCTGCAGACCGCTAGGGAGCACTGTGGGTTTTGCAGTCTTTACATGAAACATCATGCTCAGCCATTTCAGTCTCACTGAACCTGTTATCCAAGGCTGGGGTTGAGCTTGGGGCAGGGCACTAAGAAAACAACTTGCACTGCTCAGTAACAAACCCCCAGTGAAAGGTCTGAACTTAAGGGAGTTCTTTTGGGCAATCCCCTCATGGAAAAGGGATCCACACCCAGAACTCAAGGACTGGAGTATCTGAGGTAGGGGAGAGGACAGGAGAGATCCTTTAGGCTCCATAAATGACACTTAAGGAAAGTTACTTCATAGACTATATGCAGAGCATGCCCAGCAAATTCCTGCCAGTTATTTTAGTTCATCCCACTTTTCAGTTGATGTAGTAAACACAGGCTATAAACTGCATTGTGCAAGCACAATCACCCAGGAGCAAATCAGCTCAAGACTGGTGGATCATATGTTTAGTGCACATTCTTTGGAAAAGCAGTAGCAGCAAATGGCAAGACATCATTCAGGGTGGGAGGGGGAAGGGGAAGAGGGAGGTAGTCATGGAAAGGGAGGGTTGTTAACACTTGTTGGGGGGAAAAAAACCACATCATAAATTATTAAAATCTTAATAGGAAATTTTAGTATCAAAAGAACTGCAAGCAGATTTTGTATATTGCAGCCAATTTTGAACTTTCCAGTCTTCAAGAGCTGTTAATTAGGTTTCCAATCCTCACTCCCCCAAAACCCCACTAACCCCGATGTCTCCTTAAATGCAGACATGCCCAAATCCACACAGGCTTTGAAAGTATGACTGTTATTGCTTTGAAGCCCACATTCTGAGTTTCAAAAGGGCGTGAAGCATATCTCCCACCCTCCAAATTCATCAGTGTGTGACAAACAAGCACAATGTGGGCCACCCATTTTTGACATACATTATGCAGTGCCTTAGCCTGTTAATTTCCCCTTTTCAGTCACAGAGCTGAAGGTTGTAGTGGTTTTTTTTAAAGCAGTTTCTCCAGTTATGGAAGTGTGTGTTATCTGCTCATTAAAACAAGTAAAGAACCAAGGTTTGTGGGTTTTATTTCCACATCTGTCACTGTGTCTTCGGGGAAGACATTTAAAATTTTGTACCTCAATTTCTTTCTTCTATGAAAAAAGGAGAATAGCAGGCTTCTCATAAGGGGTTTTTAAGCTCATATGTTTATTGCACATGTAGGACGTTAAACCCAATAATTTAAAAATATTTTAGTTTTTTTGCCTTTCAACTTCATTGAAAGTTCCCACAATAAAACTATTTTGTAAAATAGATCAACTATTTGACACACATATGTAACCCATTGGCACAAAACATCATAGAGGTCAAGTTCTGGCAAGATTCAAAAAGGGTTAGGCATTTATATGGATAAGAAGAAAATCCACAATTACGTTAAATGATACATAAACCCTCATGCATCAGCCAACTATCGCACCCACTGTTCGGGATAAGGAAGAAACTTATATGGGCAAATAACTCCGTAATTACCCAATTCAGGGATCCTACCATTTTCCTCTGAATTACCAAATATTGGCCACGGTCACGAGACATGACATCAGATGAGACATAGCACCAGTCTAATCTGGCAGGGCAATTCCTAAGTTCTATTTTTCTCCTCCATTGTTCTTTGCCCAGCAGTTTTGAAACGTTGCCCTCTCTGCTCCCTCAGACTGAGGCACACTGCTTTACTTGTACAGTTGTGCCTGCAGCATGAGGAGAACATACCCTTCTGCTAGGGAGGGCACACAATATTAGGCCTTCTTTACATATCCTAAACAGGTAACAAACCCAATGTTTGTCCTTTACAGGCCACCTTTAATAGGCTTTGATGGTGGCAAACTGGAGAGCAACTGAAAGCAGGAGTAGTATAATTGGTATATGAAGCATCCTTGGTAATGTTTAGTCACCAAAATTAGTTTGCTTTTTAGACAGTTTAAAAAAAATCTATTCATGCTAAATTTTGTAAACGACCTATTTCGATGATTTAAATATTCCCTTGTAATGTTGGAAACTCATACCGTAGCATCGTGCGGACGCATAGGAACTAGAAGGTCAAGCTAGGCAGTATTGCTTTACTGTCCAAGCAGCATAAAATGTGGAAAGGAAACACACTGTTTAAAATATACATTCGTCCAAAGTACTATTTATACTGCACACCCATGTATACAACATTGTGCAACAGGGGAAGCACACACCAAACCACCAAGTTCCTGCCCTGAAGAGTCTACAGTCTAAATGCAAAACAGGTAGAATATCAACATTACATGGGGCATCCGATTATTACAGCCAAAACTCTCCATGAAATGAAGGGCTGTAGGAATTTTTGATGGAGGGGGCTGGCCCCCTGAGTGTTTGTTCCAAGATGATGGGGCACCAGGAAAGGCAGTACAAAGGAGATAAAATGAGTGATCAGGAGAGGCATGTGCAAAATATAAAGGATGGGAGTTGTAGGCAGGGATGGTATTCAAGAGAGCTTTGTAAGTGAGGAGAACCTTGAACTTACTACAGAAGAGAGGAAGCCAGTGTAAATATTCAGAGGGGGAGAAAGAAGAAGGGGAAACATGGTTAGAGCAGGCAGAAAGGATGATAATTTGGGCATCTCTTTTGCATAGACTGGATGGGAAGAAAGTGATAGGAGAAACAGCAAGGACAAAGTTATAGTAACCAAGTCAGGAAGTTACCAGAACATAGACTAACACCTTGGCAGGAACAAAAGGAAGAGATTAGCTTTGGAAATGTAAAGAAAAGGCTTAGAATTTGGTGAGGGCAGACGAAAGACATTCTATATATACACATTTATAATCTTCACATCCGTTTTAGACTTGATCCTGAGTAGTATTCATCCAAGCAAATGTTTGAAACTCAATGTGGAGAAGCATGTACAGTTGAGAAACACAGCTCTAGCTGGAATCTGAAGGAGTAAATCACCCTAGGATGATACTTAGGGCAGGTCATCACTACAGGGGGGGGTCGATTTAAGATACGCAAATTCAGCTATGCGAATAGCGTAGCTGAATTCAACGTATCGCAGCCGACTTACCCCGCTGTAGGGACGGCGGCAAAATCGACCTCTGCGGCTTCCCGTCGACGGCTCTTACTCCCACCTTTGCTGGTGGAGTAAGAGCGTCGATTCGGGGATCGATTGTCGCGTCCCAACGGGACACGATAAATCGATCCCCGAGAGGTCGATTTCTACCTGCCGATTCAGGCGGGTAGTGTAGACCTAGCCTCAGTTATTTGCTAGAAACAGTGTTGGTGTTTCCCCTTCACTGCTCATCTGATTTGTGAATGAGCATTTAGATTTTAACCACAAAGAGAAGCAATTCGTTTTGGAAAAACCCATAATTTCACCACATGGAACAGAGGGGTTTTTAGCTTGAGCCACTTAGCTGCTGTGAATTCTAACAGACACCACGGTTCTGCTCTTCCAATTACAGTACAACACAGACTGACCAGTGCATTAAGAACCACACACTGCACAAGAGACAGCTATGCAGTTGTCCTTATCCATTATCAGACACATCACTGCCCACCTCATGTAAAAAAGGTCAGTCAACTTACTATTAACTGCAACCCATTCATTTAAATCTTCACCCTCTGGCAGCATAACGGCCATCCGGAGATTACCGCTTCCAAGCGTGGCTTCTGCATGTTTTAACAGCTCATACTGGTGAGACCCCTCCGGAATGTTTTTCTTTGGTTTAAAGGTTTTAGAAGAGCGACTACCACTGTGAAGGGGAGAAGAAAAAAAAGATGTAAAAGAACTTGTAGGAATTGAGGGGACGGAGCGAGGAGCAGGGAAGTTAAGAATCAGTGTAGCACTAGTGTGAACACCTTCCCCCCCCCCCCCCCCGATTTTTATTTAGATCAAGCAGGATGTTTACAAAAATAAAGAGCTACAAATTACAGAACTGACTCATATTTGTTAAACAATTGCTTGGAACTCAGATTACTATCTATTTCACTGTATTCTCATCTATTAATATTATTTCTGAGCCAGCTGGAAAAAGGGGATACCCATCCTACCATCCATCTCATTGCAAGCTGGGTCAAAGTTAAAACATTAAAAAGCAGCTTACCAGAATCAAGATGACCACATTTTAAAGCCACAAAAAAGAAATTCTCTCCCACTTCCCAAAGATTAAATGATTAGAGCTGAGCAAATACTAGATTTTTCGGTTCAGGAGCCAAACAAGAAAAACTGAAAAAAATTCCAGTTTGATTTGAACCAACAATTTTTTTCACTGAATCAGAAGACTTGTAAAAATTTGATTTTGAAAAAACTGAAATGTTTTGAGTTGACCTGAAAGGACATTTTTTCAGTTTTTATATTCATTTCGAGTCGACCAAAACATTTCAGTCCAATCAATTTTTTTTTTCTTCAAGTTTTTTGTTTTGATTTCAGCCTTTTGGGGTGTTTTTCACCTTTTGTGTGTGTTTTGTTTTAAACTGGCCAGATTCCAAATTGAAATGTTATTCAAAGTAAAAGTCAAATTGAAACATTTTGACCCTTTGAAATTTCCCCCCTAACTGATGCTATTCCCCCAATTAAGCAAATAGTTTCAGACCCTGAAAAATGCATTTTTTGCTGAATTTTTTTTGCCTAGCTCTACTGAGGAGACAGCTTGGGGGGTGACAAGGAAGAATGGAGAGACGGTAAAACCATTACATTTAAAATACTTTCTTTCACTGTGGAAAAAGGGTAACATTGAACAACTCTGGGAAAAATACATTTAAAAGCTAAAATCAGCCTGTTCAAGACCAGTTGTAGTTTCACTGTATAGGGTGTAGTATATAGGGCTCACTGAAAATACAGTACATCACACTGAAGTGGCTGTTATTTATGAAGGGTTCTCAGATGATTAAAAACAGTGCAGTGGTCATATTAATCTGCCGTCAACCTATTTACATGCAAATATTTGCCTTCCCTAAAAAGATGGTGTGAAGCATGGCTAGAAAGGGTTAAACATCCTGCAAAATAAACAACCCTCAAAAGACATGTGGGGAGATAATATTTATGGTTTTGTGTATTTACATATGTATGAGTAGGGTCCTCCGACAATGTAATCAACAGTCCCTGTCTATGCTGTATTCTGATAATTCAGAGGTCAAAAGAACATCCTATCATTTAAATGAATTGTAAATCTCTGTATTCATCTCTCTTTGAAATGTATAGCAAATAATCTGCGAATGGTGGAGGAACAAGCAAATTGCCTTATGTTAATTCTATAGCTAAGTACCGGTGATGGACCTCCTTCAAAGTCATGCTAATTACCTTTTGAACTCCCAACTTGTCAAAAGACATGAAATTGTATACAAGATCCTTGGGTCCTGATTCTGTCATCTCAGATCTGCTTAGGCTTCATCAGGGGAAGTTTGAGTCGCAAGACTGAGGTCCCAGTTATGCTGATAAGCCTTGAATATGACATTTGGACACTGGACTATAACCTATGAACTATTTCTGAAAGAACTCTTTGCAACTACAAAGCTCACCGTCTCGGCTATGAATCTGAACCTCAATAAATTGAACTCATGTCTGTATGTATATTAACTTTCACCCATACTCTCTCTGTGTTGTTTTTTAATAAATTTTAGTTTAGTTAATAAGAATTGGCTGTAGCCTGTATTTGGGTAAGATCTGAAACATTCATTAACCTGGGAGGTAATGTGTCTGATTCTTTGGGATTAGTAGAACCTTTTCTTTTATATGATGAAATAAGATTTTCAGAAATCATCATATTTGACTTGGGTATCTGGATGGAGGCCTGACGCTGGATCACTTTAAAGGAACTGTGTTGTTTGGACTTCTGAGTAACCAGTGAGGTAATAAAGAAGCTGTTTTGTGCAGGCTTGGTAAATCTAAGTATTGGAATAACCACCAGCTTTGTGGGGATTGTCTGCCCCATTCTTTGCAGTTCACCCTAATTGAGTGACCACAGCTGGCCCCCACTGGGACCCCAGTCGCAGATGGTAAGTCTCACACAGCAGCTCCAAGTACACTTGATAAAGAATTACTATTGTTTGGATCACTATTAAAGTATTAAAATATACTTAGCCACAGAATTGCTACTGCAGTGCTATGGTTATAGCTGAGCTGACACTTCCACTTCCACCCCCTATTTCCATATATTTCTCAGAACATTTCTTTATGGATTTCATGAAGGGTTTTCACATCTTCTTTCAGACTAGAAGTAATATTTGGGTGGAAATTTTTATAGCAGTTGGAAAAAAATTCAAGGTGGAAAATTCTTGCTTTTTCAGTTTTAGACAAATCCAGATTATTTAATGTTTGTGCTTGGATAACTACAAATGGCTTTTTAAAAACTTTAAATTTGGTGTGCATGTGCTGCTGAACAAACCGAGCCTCAGAAAGAAAATTTGGATAGAATTAGAGGAAATTTAGTTACTTCAGTTTTAAAGAAGGGTAATGAGCCAGCATAGCATATTAATTTCTAAAATGTTAGAAAAATGCACCAAAGTGTGAGGCTCCAAATATTTGCAGACGTGGATTTCATAGGAACAGCCAATACGTGGAACCATAAATGATTTCTAAGTGATTTTAGAGCAGATTTATGTTGGAAAGGGAAGTTACATTCTTTTTGCTTCTAGTGACCAGACGGGGGAGGGGGAGGGAAATAAGTTAAATCCAGACACTATGGAGCATCCAAAGCAAACACCACCCAATATTCTTCTCTTGTAAAAAGAGCCCTTCTAATTTTTCAATGTATCATCTGTTAAAGGGTATGGCTTTCAAAATTTTCTAATAGTGCAAACTATTGTTATGCAGGTGTTTGCGTGGTACAGGAGTCACAAAAAGATGAGACTGCACACTGCCAAGGCAGGGCTGATGCTTGGAACAATGTTTGTTTGGCTACATTTTCACCTAAAGCATTGTAAATAAACTGTCTCTTTTCCTTTGAATTTTCCCCACTCTGCAGCATCACAGAAAAACAAACAAACATGAAAGATAACACGCTTGTTTCTACAAATCCTAAGTATTAAGAAGAAGAGACATGCACATGAAAGTGTGCAATGAAGATAAGTTTTTAAAGAGTTTGATGAGTGAGGAATTACAGGAACTTAATGTTGTTATGTAGCAAGCATATGATAAATTGCCAACTGTGTCATTAGGTCTTTTAGCAGCTAAATCTCAACAAGGGAAGGGGAAGAAGCAAGTTACTGAAATTGGAGTTTATTAATCAGTTGCTTAAATTCTGTTGAACGGGAAGCCTCTTAAAGGAAGAGAAGAACCTTTGTATAGTTGAACATTTACACTGAACGTGACTTGGGCTTCTAAGCCCTAAATGGTGTTGCACCACTCTGCTTTTCTTTTCTGTAAAGCTACAATTTTCTTCCTTAAAAACTCCACAAGTGACAACTTTTTAAAAATAATCTGAGATTCATAAAACTAAGACATTTAAATATTTGTCACTCTCCAACTTTTGGCATTAAAGGTGGCTTGCAAAAAATGTATTACTGCCCTTTCTTGCTGCTTTATGATTAATAAAGAAAGCCTGAAGGTAAAATTAGTTTCCTTTCCTGTAATTTTGGTTTCTCACAGTAAAGTGTCAGCTATTTTACTGTTGAGCTGTCCCTACCCAAGTTCCTAGTTTGGGAGTAACTGCTTAAAGTTCTTCCTTTGAGCTGGGTTTATAAAATAATTATACAAATTCATGGAGGATAGGTCCACCAATGGCTATTAGCCAAGATGGTCAGGGATGCAACCCAATGCTCTGGGTGTCCCTAACCTCTGACTGCCAGTAGCTGAATCTGGACGACAGGGGACGGCTCACTTGATAATTGTCCAGTTCTGTTTATTCCCTCTGAAGTACCTGGCATTGGCCACTGTCAGAAGACAGGATAGTGGGCTAGATAGACCATTGGTCTGACCCACAGCAGCCATTCTTATGTTCTTCTTCTCTTGGTATTATCTTGTGGAGCAATATTACAATAACGTTTCCTGATGACTTTTAACTTGAGCAAGCTGATGTTGAGATTTTGGAATAGGTAGTTTCTCCTGATCTGTTGGAGATTACCAGCCTTTTTGGAATTCCCAAATGGAATGGAATCATTATTATCCTTATTGTCTGAAGACCCACTAGGAAGATTTTATCTGGACCTTCATCAGGACAAGAAGTGAATTACAAAGGACAGGGATAGCACATGGGGCATATATGTCTTTTTTCTGGAAAAGCCCATTTTTAATAACAAAATTCTGTAGATTAAAAATATATACAATTACCATGGAACTGTATTTGGGCACAATATAACCATGCTGGCCAACTCAACACATTGTGAGATGAATGGATTTTAAATGTATTCTGGGAGGAGAAGGAGGGATCCGGGTTTGCACTTGAGTCAGACTTTTATAAGGTTATAAGGCTACAGAAGGTTATAAAAGAACTGTGCACACAGTAAGCATGCATACCACAGCAGCTCTCAAACCCATGGAGGAATATCCAAAGCCAAGTTTGCAAGAACTTTCAGTTTTAATAGTTTAAAAAAAATACTTAAGGACATCTGCTCCACCCATTGGAAACTAACTTCCTAGATTGGGAGCAGCCCTGGCTTCAGTGCAGAAAGGAGGAATCCATCTTTGGTACCAAGAATAACGTATGGTCTTTGTAATGGGGTACTTTGTATCACTACAAAAATGCCCTACTAATTAAATTTTTCTTGTCTGGATTCAGGAGAGACATGGATGGCTCTGTGATGGCC